TCTCATCGTCACTCATCAAGAGCAAGATGTATCCTTTTGAGTATGCTGTGACCCTTCCGGGAGGTAAACCGGAGGTCGCGATTAAATCGCACTCGTCGAAACTTGCATTTCTTTGCTCGTTATTTCGCGCCAAACATGCATTCGAGTTCGCACTTATCCTGCATTGTTATGCACGTCACTTGCATTCTCATGCATACCACTTGCATTGTTGTGCACGTTTCATTGGTATTGTCATACTTCCATGCTTAACTTGCATTGTTACGCGCGTGTCCCTCGCATTGCGATGCGCTTTCCCATCAACACCCTGTTCGTCTGCATTCGATGTAGTGTTGAACATGTGTAGCTAATGATATTGTGCTTGTTAAGTTTCTTTCTTTTGCAGGCACGATATTGTATGTACGGTTCATTTGAAGCTGGTGCAACCAGACGAATCGTGCAGGTATTGTATCTTCTCCGTGTGAGACGCGGCGAGAATTGAATAATTCTCCGCATTCTTAAACTGCATGAAATGTAGTTGTTGCTTTGCATTCTTACTTAAAACGGTTGCGTGTGCGCTTCATTACAGCTTGTTTACATAATCATGATTACGTCAGGGCCATATCAATTTTGCATCTTGTCCCTCTGCGGACATCTGTTATCTTGCTTGTTTGTCTAAGTCTTCAGCCTTGTCAAAAATGGGTCATCTCTGGGCTTTGACATTCACTCCCGTCACGTGTGACTTCCGAGTTCTGTCAAAGAGGGGCAACTGTAGACATCCCATTTTTGACCGACCTTAAGACTCAGACGTCACCAGTTAAGCGCTTGGTGATGTTGCATATTGTGCTCGTTCTGAGGTTTCAGAGTCTCGGCTGCGAGCCTTGTCTCTGGACTTCGAGGCTTTTTTGTGCTTTGTCTCGGTTTGCGAACTAGGTCCTATTTTCTCTATTTTCTCTTCCCGAAGGGAGGGAGAGGTCTCGTAGACCATCTCTCAGTGGCCGTAGGCTACGTTTCATGGTCGTAGGCTACGTTTCGTGGTCGTAGGCCATTTTTCCCATTTGGAGCCCGGTTTCCAGTTTTCGGAGCCATCGGCCGTGTGCCTCGGTTCAGGACTGCTTAACTACCTCCGTTTGTTCCGATTTTTGGCACACATCTTATTTCCTCCCTTTAGAGGGACACTATGGCCCGGGAGACCACTTTTGTGGTCATACGCCACTTCCGGTGCCTAACAGCCTGTTTTTGGGGCCCTAAACCGCGTGTTTTGGCCCCCGAACCTTTGTTTTGCATCCGTTTTAGTCCATTTTTGGTAGAGACTCTATTTTCATTGTTAGGGAGGTGGTAAGATGGTGGCCGTCCACCTCTTCCCCTAAAAAGCCAGTTTTCTCATTTTTTTCTCTCCAAATGCCAGTTTTTCTGACAGAAAGCTAGTTTTTCACACTTTTGAGCCACATTTTCTGGCTTTTCATACCACCATTATGATCTACTCATCTGGGAGGCCACCAATATAGGTAGGCCGACCAGTAATTCCTCTTGACCCTTTTGAACCCCTCTAAAAAGCTAGCTTTTCTCTCTCTTGGGTCACATTTTCTGGTTTTTCTCCACAGGGCTGTGTTCTACTCATCTGGGAGGCCACCTTTCTGGGTAGGCCAACCAGCAATTGTTCTTGAACCTTTTGACCCCTGGTCGGCTGACCAGGGGGAGTGGCTGGCTGGCCACTTGAACTAGTCGGCCTGCTTATTTCTTTTGTCCCTTTTGAGTGTAATCCAGCTGTGCCAGTTGGGGACCATTTGGTGCATCCTCCATACACGTGTATGGAGGATCTTTGAAGCTTCCAAAAGAAGCTTTGGCCTCTCTTCTCTATAAGAGAGGCCCTCCTCTTCATATCTTAGGTTAGACATTTTTGCTTAAGGCTCATAACCTCCCTCCTCCATTGTTACTACTCAAAGCTCCAAAACCCTCACTTTCTTGGTCCATTTGCACTACAACCCTTAGCACCACACCTCCATCATCCATTCCAGCACCTTGGAAGTTATTTGCAGAGGTTAAAAGCTCACCAACCTGGTCCAAAAGTAGCTGGAGGTCGGCTCTTCAAGGGTAAGTGTCCATTTCCCTCAAATTTGTATTTTTTTGCATAATTGGTTAGCCTTATTTAAAAGCATTTCTTGGCTTCGACCTAAACTAAAAAGTCCCTTATTTTGTGCCCCTCTTCAACTTTGTTGAAGGGCTCTTTACTGTTTGAGGCCATCTACTACCCCTTTCCCTTTATCTCTCTTTTAGGGCTATTTTTGCATCATATTTTAGCCTTACTTGTGAGCATATTCGAGATTTTCCATAAACTGTATCTTTTTTTGAGCCCCTCTTCAACTTTGTTGAAGGGATCTTTGCTGTTTGAGGCCTTTTTCTGCCCTATTTGTTCAATCTCTCTTTTAGGGCTGTTTTTGCATGATACATTAGCCTTATTTGTGAGCTATTTTAGACCTCGACCTAAACTGAAAAAAATCTTGTTTCGATACCATATTTATGTTTGATTAAGGTCTATTCTCTGTTTGGGGTCATCTTCCCCTATGCATGCTTCATTCCTTTATGATGAAGGCTATGCATTAGAGCACTTGCATTGGCCATGGTTTGGCCTCTTAGCCACTAAAATTCAATGGATTTTCAGTGGCTTTGATGTATTTTTGAGGGCCAAAATTAGAAGGGGGTGACCCCCTCTCTCCTTGTCTTGTTTGGGGATCTTTTAGGCCTTCCAAAAGGACCCTATTTTGCATGCATCGAAGTCACTTTTCAGGCCTCATTCTGAGGGTTTTGAGGCCTGCCTTGGCTCTGTCCGAGGCCCATTTCGCCATATTTTAGGTCTATATTGCATGTGTAGACCAATCCCATTCAAGGCCCTTCAAAGAGGCCTTTCTTTGCATGTTCCCTAGACCAATTTCAGGGTCAATTTGGTGAGTTTTAGGGCTGTCATATTTGATTTCCAGAGTTGGTTGTGCCATGCTAAGTGTCCTTGATGCATGTGCTTAATTACCCCTTGTATGCCCTTCCAAAGAAGCCCCTCATTTTTGCACATGGTGGTTGCATTTCAGTGATTATTTAGACATATTTTGCACTACAAGAAATTGCATTTTTTGCAATGCAACAAAATATGTTGCTAAAAGGGAAAATTCGTCGGCAAAGAGCTTTGCCAACACATCAAGCTACGTTGGCAACCCGTAGGCAAAAGTGAGTCGGCAAAAGTTTTTGCCGACGAAATTATCATTACGTTGGTAAAAGTAATGCCTTTAGCGACGAACATAGTCGTCGATAAAAGTCTTCATCCATCGTCGGCAATTTACCTTGCGTTGGTAAAAGTCATTCAAATATGATGATTGTGTGGCACTTTTCGCGACACAAATTTGCATGGGCAAAAAATATACTTTTAGCAACAAAATATGCGTCAGCAAAAGTAAACTTTTGGCAACACACTTACGTCGGTAAATGTTGTCATTTGCCTACGATTTGTTTGTCGATAAAACTTCACTTTTGGCAACGACAAATTAGCATTGGCAAAAAATACACATTTAGCAACACAATATGAGTGGGTAAAAGTAAACTTTTGGCAACACATTTACGTCGGTAAATGTTGTCATTTGCCTACGATTTGTTTGTCGATAAAACTTCACTTTTGGCAACGACAAATTAACATTGGCAAAAAATACACATTTAGCAACACAATATGAGTGGGTAAAAGTAAACTTTTGGCAACACATTTACGTCGGTAAATATAGCCATTTGCCGACGATTTGTTTGTCGATAAATGTTTACGTTTGGCAATGACAAATTGACATTGGCAAAAAATACTAATGCTCCCATAGATGAGTACAAAGCCATGCTCCACCCATTTGCCATAAAGCCCAAACAGCCTGACTTCGGTCAGGAGATGTTTTTGCCTATATATGTGACACCTGATGTGCAACCCAACCATTTGCTTCATAGTTCACCTGTAACATTTTGTGACTAAATAAAAACAATAGTGTTTATAAAGAATATAGAATGCTTAAATAGAACAATTTATCACGGAAAACACCAATCACAGAGTTCATCCTGGGTTTTGACCTACCTAACTACTTTGATGTACAAATTTTATATGCATACATACATATTTTATACTTATTCAGTCTTTCAAAAAAAATAAAAAATACTAAGCTCCAAATGATGGCTTGCAGAAAAACAAATATACATATATACACAATACCACATGTGATCACACAAAATGAATAAAACAACAGTTCATAAGGACCATTAATGTTTGATAAGTGAAAGATATTCTTATTTCGGCAGTTTTACTTCCATTGACCGACAGAGACAAAATGTAATCAAACAAGGGCTCGTGGCACTCATGAAAGTTGCATGGAAAGGAGGGCCAATAGTTCATTTGAAGATTAATATTCAAGTGTTGAGCGCCACTAGAGAGTTAAAAAGGAAAAGGTCACATTAGTAGATGCAAAAATACATATGCTTTTTTTTATCAACAGGAAGCAGAGAAATTATGTTACATCAGAAGACTAATATAAAATGAAGTACAGATTGAAAGGCAATATTGCTGTTTTTATGGCTTAAAAATTCTATCTTTCCAACTCTCTCTCATCTCTCTTAGAAGCTAATTTCTTAAAGGGGAAGAAAAAAAGAAAGAAGATTTCACTATGCACTTGCATCAAGGAGAAAATTACAAGATACCATGCGCACAGAGAGAGAGAGAGAGAGAGAGAGAGAGAGAGAGAGCTTACTCCCATGCTGGCTCAATATCCTTGTTCCATATTCCCTGCAAGTTTGCCACTTGAGTTCCAGGCCGTGAACATGAAATAAGTAGATATCAACCATACTGGAACAAAAGCTCCACTAAAGAGGGATCTTCATCAATTTGAAAAGATTTCACTCTCTTTGCAGTTGAAACCATCTTGTCTTCACTATTTTCTGAAAACAGATCAGTTGCAAAGGACAAATGTTTCTTCCTATCCAAACACCCATTTTCCCCAACATTCTTTGAGCTATTTGAAAGTTTCAGTGAGATGCGATGAAAAAGGTTTTGGTGCATCTGGGTTTGTGTAGTTTCCAGGAATCCCAGTCCAAAGTACGCGATGAAAAAGGTTTTGGTGCATCTGGATTTGTGTAGTTTCCAGGAATCCCAGTCCAAAGTGTGTCCTCTGCAAAACGAATTCAAGTAATCTGCTGTCAGTTTCACTTTCATATTGAGAGAGAGAGAGTAGAACAACAGTTAAACTTCACAAGTTTCATCAAACTTATCTCCATGACCTAGAATTTTAATATGGTATCACTGGGTCTCTGTTTGGGTGCTAATAAGATTATTGGAATAGCAGTAATATTAAATATTTAAGTTTTTTGTTTTACATGAATTGGGACCCCAGGAAAAATGAACCTCTAGCCTACTTTCAACTATTTGGCTTATAAATTCTGAATGTTCAGAATCAACCATAACATGGGAGGGAAAAATTAGATTCAAACCTTTATTTCCTTCTTTCCTCTATTTCTAGCTATAAAACAGAGTTTCATCCAAAATAATAGATACATTAACACATCTAGGCCATGTTTAATTAGTAGGATTAATAGTGAGGAGATTAACAACCCATGTGATTAGTGTAGGATTAGTTATCCAATTGGATTAGTGGGATACATAATCCGCTCTTGTGCACGTTCGTTTTGCAATGGATATGGAAATATATAATCCCAATTATATGTTTGTTTTGCATTAGCAGTCTCTTCTTTGATTTCTTGCCTATCTTCTTTCATCTTCTATAGGAGACCTAGATTAGGTTCAATAAAAAATGATTCTATCATTTCTATATCTGCAATTCAATATAGATGAATACATACTACATATATATTTTTGTCCTTTTATCATTTTTTTCATGTAAGTTGTAGGATTCTATCGATTTTGTTAGATAGAATATCCATTGGAACCTAATCCGAATAACAAAAATTACAACCAAACACTAGAATGTGAATCCCAATAATTAAGAATTTCAATCATATGCTATAATCTGCCCAATAAGACAGGCCACTAATGTTTGAGCTATCCTCAACTACACCAAATACATTGAACTAATCTCAATTCAAGTCCAAGACATACAAATACATTGAACTAATCTACCTTAACCATTTAAAGTTGAGTTTGGATCTTGGAATTATGAAGAGGAAAGCAAAAAAATGGGAAAAAAAAAATCTTGGATTTGTGGAGTGAACAGAAAAAGAAAGGAAAAATGGGAAGAAATTGAAAAAATATATATATATATATATATAATTTCAGTTTCATTTTCCTTTCCCATGACAATGCAAGATCCAAACATAGCTTAAGGAATCCTCGTTTGGTATCATGCTATTTCAGTAATTTTTAATTTTTTAATTAAAATATGAAGTAAAAAATTATGTTTAGGATGACTTTTTTTTTTATTTTTTATGAAAAAATGTGAGAAAATTTGACTTTTTTATATAATTTGTCAAGTTTTTTAACTTTTTTTTTAATAAGTTTTAGGCTAAAAAGTGATGCTCATTCAGTGTAATATTGCTATCCATTTTATTATAAAAATACATGTAGGAAGGGTAAAGAACCAAAATGTCAAATGCTAAAATATTGAAGAACTCAAAACCCAAGATAAAGAACAAACTTCAAAGCTTGAAAATAAACAATAATAGTATATCAAACAAGAGTCAAAAGCACTGTCATCTCTTCCCTTTCTATCATTTCTAGGCAACCAAACAACAACAGAGCAAATTGGGATATACTGTTACGTTTACCATTAAGATTGAGAGTCTCGAATTGAATACCGATATTTCTATATGTTTCAGACAGTAAGGGGAAACCATAACAGCATAACTTATTATGAAACTCCTACATCAAAGTCTGCATTTAGTCATAGGAACAAATCTGAGTGGCAGATGCTGATTTTTTTAAACCATTCTTAATTTAAAACCACATTGATTCAAGCTGACTGTCAAACCCACATTAATCTGGTTTATTCAGTTCATTTAGAATGATGCTCAGGAACAGAACACACCAATTATTTATTTATTTATTTATTGGGAAGGGACAAATAACTCAAGCACAATGTTCTTTCAATTCAATTCTCTACAAATCAAAGAAAAAGGTTTTACAAACCCACCAACAATTCATATATATATAATATACATGCACAACCAAAATCAAAATAACGCACAAAATGTAATAGCAAACACAATGTGTTGCTAAAAAATAAGCCTCGTAGCTAAAATTTTGGCGCCTAATGTGAGCCTATTAAGCAAACACAATGCTTCAGACAAAACTTCCGTGAAACTTGTGGAGTGATTGGAATCAGTGTTTATAAGTAAAAAGGAAGCAGTTCAGGACTAGAGAGACTAACCTCAGCTCTACTTGTGGGGGTATTTCCATAATCCCTTGCCCTCAAACCATTTTGCTTGCTTCTTATAGAGCCATTTTGATGTGTTTCAGATTTGCCCCATGTGCGTGTGAGGTCTGATCCAATGGAGTGGAAAACACCACAGGTGGACATATCCCTGTTGATGCTTCCTGGATTGTAGAAAAGCTAACTTTATTTCAACTGTTTGTTGCAAAATAAGGAAACTAAACTACAAGACAATAAAGCATTAGTATATAAGTATTCTGATCACTTACCCATTTTCTGAAACTCAGCATGGCTGGACTTGTGCTCATTAATATCCCCATCCTGTTTAATTTAATAGAGTTCCAATAGGTCAACACTAGTATTTCCAGATGCATGCAACCAAGGAAGGTTTAATAATCACCATGGCATCAATATCCATAGTTTTCTTGATTTCCATTAGCTTTTTCTCAGTTAGATCAGAGTGGATCACGCGCTTGCCTGTGACAATAAATGGAAAAAAGTTTATAACAACAATTTTACCAAAATATGCCTAAGATTGACACGAAAATACACGCACCTAGCCTCCTGCTGCCTTTGGCATCAAGAAACCCATCATGGATCATTTTATCAATTAGCTTGCGCACAGTAGTCTGGTTGATTTCTCCATCAAGCTTGCTCTGAAGCTTTGCAACAGTAACGTAGCTCATCGGAAGAGCATGATACAAAGCCTGAAATTAGAGCATTCATAATAGTTACACAATGCAGGAAGTTCACATCACATCTGTATCTATCCATTGGTAGGGTGTAGTGGACTCTGTTTTTGATCACCCAAAAGAAACCTGGATGATAACATCTGATGAACTTACTTCCTATATCTCATTCTTTATGCCACTGCTATTATTTTTTGATACTGAAGTTAATTGCAAAATTTTTAGAAAATAAACTATAAGATTAGTAGGTTCACTTATAAGCAGGTATCTCTAAATTCTTGGTCATAGTTTCTCTACATAGTGCAAAATGGTTAAGAACAATGAGGGGAAAAAGGGCCCAGGAAGCTCTAAGATTCCCAGCAAATAAGAACTTAAAAGTAAATAAAAACCAAAAAATAGGAGAGGGAGAAAATGTGGAATGTAAAGAGACCTAAAACTGATTCCATTAAAAAGAAAAAAAAAATTATTACACTTACCTTCATGTACATGTGATCTTCACCAATATCATGCTGGGCTTTCTTGCCTGGGACAACTTGGCCATCCATTTCTTCCTTTATAGGATTGAGATCATAGTCGAATTTCTACAAGTGTGGTTTTGTTACCCCAAAAAAAAACAAACACTTAAGACTACAATAACACAAAGACACAAAATTCAAACTGAATGAAAAGAAATGAACTACCTTTTGCTTGTTAATCGTGTAACTGTCTGTTCCGCTCTTAGATAGAATACCTTCCTTAACTAGCTTGTCCATAATTTCTGAAAACCAGTTACAAAAATAGAAGTTTCAAATTATTCTACAGCTTAGAATGTGCAACCGTGCAGGATTGGATGACTTCTTTTACAAGTTTCAACATGTGTCAGATCCCCATTTACCTTCAATCAAAACCTGCAACCATAAAGTTGCATACCAATATCATAACATTACAAAATTAAGAAACTGTCAAATTCAAAATAAATTGAATATAGTCAGTTGAACCAACATTCATCTTTAACACCACTTAACCAGGTAAAAGTAAAGGTCTTTACCAATGAGGTGTCGGCGAAATTTGAGAGAACATTGGTGAGTTCAATAGTGTCAAGGTGATAACAGCTGATCCAGTCCTTTACCCGATCTAATTGAAACCCCCCCCCCCCCCAGATAGATCATCTAACACCATGATCCAAGCATCATCCACTATAGTTCCAGCTAATAGGAGCATTAGCTAGGTCTTTTTATTTTATTTTTTATAGTGTGCAAACCATTCGTACTGCCACACCAGGGGTAAACATCACTAGTATACACATGGAGGGTAAACTAGCTACCCATATTTTCAATTAGAGCCCAAAAAAAACGTGACAACCTTCTCACAACGAAAGATATACAAAGACCATAACTAATAAGATCACTATATCTATTTCATCATATTCCTGAAGAAAACATGTCAGATAAGACCTCCTTGAGCCTGTTGGTTTTGAGCATGACTCTTTGAACCTCAGGTCAAAGGTGCGAGGAGCTGCTGACAGATTGCTAAAAAACAAGAAACAAAAACATTTGTCAGATAAGGTTTAGAAGACAAACCATCTACATAAGGGAACCACAGAGGGAAATCAAGAAGTTCATAAGGTCCAAAAATTTCACTATCAGGAATATGCCATCCTGTGAACATGCCCCGGATTCGTTAAACCTCGGTCGTATTGAAGATGTGAGAAGAGGTGTTGTCAACGTATACAGGAAAAATCTTCAAGTCCATTCTCAGTCGAGGGCCTTTTTCCTATAAAACAGAAACAATCTCAAGCTGAAAAATGTTCAATTTAAGACTGTTGTGAGGTACATCTCAAATGGAACCCAGTACGGCTCAAAATATCTGAATCCAGGACTTTTCAACCAATATCCAACGATCAGAGGCATAGCACAGAAGCATGGTGAGTTTGGGGCATATTCATAAGGGCATGATTGCACCAGACAATTATCATTAGAGTTTGTTGCGCTTGGGGTATGACTGACAGTTTCATTTTCATTCTGAGGTCCACAGAACAGGACCAAGTTGGTATTCAAGCATATTGGATTTCCTTGAAGCCTGCAACATTTTCAAATGAATAACAGAAGAGGAATTTGATAACTCTTTGAACCTGCTAAATATGTCTTTATCTTACTTGAATGAATCTAAAAGGTAAAATTTTAGATTTTTACCAAGGAAACACATGCATATAAAGATATTTCATTGTGGATGAAGATGGAAACAAACCTAACAGTGACATTTGTAGGGAGGCTAGCATTGCCAGAAATATTTGAAAGCATATTGTTCTGCAAAATTTCGTATTAGCTAATATATTTGAATTCATCTAAACCCAACAAAATTTCTGGGTTCAATTACAAATGCAAAAGCCTATGGTGTTAATACTTGTAATTTCGTATTTCCATCAAGGTTGAACTTTCTGTGAGTTGCTACAATGAAAGAAATAGTCAAAATCAACTGACATCCAAACCAGTAACTCAAATCATCGTTTGTAATATCTGTCATTTCTCTTCACATTGAAAAATTTTCAACCAAAATGGAAAAAACCCAAAAGCTGATTCCAAAAGTTATTCAATGGGCAAATTAAAATGGTAGTCTATGTACTTTGTTACTTCCTGTGTCATTTTACTCCCTATAATTTCAATTGACTCGATTTTAACCATGAATTTATCACTGTCTCAATTTGGTTCAATTGAGTTTTTTTTTTTTTTTAATTTTTTTATATGAAAAATAAACAAATAAGTGGCATGTGGGAAAAATTATAAACATGAGTTAAAAATACTAACGAGATAATCAATTGGACTAATAAATTCATTCAATTGAACACAGTGACGTAAACGGTGCAAGGGGGGGAGAATAGGTTAGAAATTGATAGTGTACCTTAGAAGTTGGATCGGTGGCTAACACAGACTGAGGAAAAACAGAAATCACTCGATTTGTTCCCATTGGCAACTTCGTTTTTCGAAAATTCAGACATTTTCCCCAGAATTTGGAAGTGATATGCGACTTTCGAATCTGTGAATTTGCCTGAACTTGAAACAAATTGTAACCAGAAATGCAAGAGGAATTGATCTTACTTTGATGCTCTAGCACCACAAGAGCAAGCAAATTATGGTGAATCAAGTTATGGCCTATCGAATTGCTCATATTCTTCAGATTACGTTTAGAAACATAAATGGCACAATTTATTTGAACATATTGTGTTTTGTATCTTGGAGACCTCAGTCGCTCACCGCCGCTGCAGGCCGCTGCTGCTCGTAGTCGCCGCCGATCAAAGGATGTAGGGCTAGGGTTTGGAGAGAGGAGTGAGTGAGAGATAGGTTTGGGAATCTAAAAAAAAAATGAATTGTATTGTGTGTTGTGTGTGTGGGTTGCTCTACTACAGAATAAAAAAAAAATAAAAAAGGTCAAGGCCAGTTTGAATTTTTATGAATCAGAAAAAAGGAAATTGTTTTATATAAAATTAAAATTAAAAAAAAATACATACAATCACACTTATTTAAAAAAATGTGATTAAAAAAGAAGATATAATCATACTTATTTAAGTGTGATTAAAAATAAATATTATCACACTCACCCAAATTAAGTGTGATTAAAATATCAATCTAATTTTTTTTTATCACACTTTCACTAAAAATGAGATATTTTCAATTGTCAAAATGTGATCTTTAACTATTTTTGTGGTAGTGAAGAATGAAATCGTGAAGATGGATGAGGGGAGATTTGATGAGGGAAAAAAAAGGAGGGAATTTTAAGAGGAAATTTGCCACTGCCCGATAATCAGATCACAACCAAAATAATAATGATAATAATAATTTCAAAACAATTTTTAGATTTGTTTTTTTGAAAAAATTAAAAATAATTTGAGAGCAATAAAAATCAAAATTATATTTTTAAAATTTTAAAAAGTGTTTATGACATAAAAGATAAAAATATACAAAAATAATAAGTATTTTTTATTTCACCCAATTTTTTTTAGTTTTTTAGGGGAAAAAAAAATTGAAACTAGTTTCTGAAAATAAAACCAAACATATTGAAATTGATAATCTAAGCATAATCTTTGAAAAGTTTAAATTATCTCAAATTAGTCATCTCAACTTAAGAGTGTGTTTGGGCTTAATGGGTTCATTTTGTGATCTAATTCAATAATCATTTTAATTTTACAATTCAGTAACTAGAATATTTAAAACTCTTTAGAAAATTGTAATCAAAAATACAAATCACTATATCACATCATTCCACTAGCAAAACTTTTACCGACGAATAGTGTTATCGTCACTAAATGGTTAACTCTTTGCCCACGCTAACTTGTCATCGCCAAAAGTATGCACACTAATAGCAACGCTTATTGTGTTGCTATAACATAAACCTCGTAGCTAAAAGTTTTGAAATTTTGGCGCAAACCAAAAATTTTGGCGCTAAAAGAATGCTATGCTTTTTTAGCGACGGTAGCAAATTGCGTCGGTAAAGGTATAC